GTCTCAGAGCAAGCGCCTGAGCCTACCGCGCCTGCTGATCCACAGACCACGGTTGTGACCTCAGTCATCATGGAGTATGTCACTGTGTAAGCCAGTGACCACGACCGACTAGGTATCGCTCCTGCTGTTTGTTGGCTACTGCGCACTTATCCGCTCATTGTTCTTGTAAATGTCTCTCTTCACGTTTGTGCACACTTGCACTATCACACTCGTTTTATGCTGTTGCATATACATACCCACGCTCGTTTCATACCTCTGTATATACACTACCACGCCTTACGCCTTACGCTCATTCGTCACGCACTCCAAAGAAATCCAACCACTCGTTCTTTGACTCTTGCTCGTTGCTCACCTATTCCACTCTTCTCATATGCTAGCGTCCTTGATATCGTCTTGACACATGCTCATTCACAGCAAGCGCACATCAAAACCACAAGCAGAAAACGCAGACTTGCTTTACTTCCACATGTATTCCTCGCCAAATACTACTCGACCCAATGCCCCAACACCCATCACAGCAACCCCGCCCTCAAAAGCTTATTCCCAAATTCCAAAAGATAGTAATCCGCATACACCAACCCATGATCCGCATACTTCATATGCGCATGCTCATTCCAATTCGTCGTGCTGTTCCTCAGTATACACTCAAACCCTGATTCTTTGATCTTGAGCTCCGATGTTACCGCTGCGCCGTTAACGCTATTCCCATTGACCATGCTCTTGGTGGGGAGTTCAAAAGATGCTAGATTAGAGTCGTACGACATATCTAGCGTCTGGGATACGATCTGCAACGCGATGTCGAGAAAGTTGGTGGTGTTGCTAGAAGGAAGTTCCGATGCCGTGGCTGAAGAGAGGGATTGGAGTGCTTGGTGGATGATGAGGAGACCGTTTGCTGTTATCACGCCCGCGGAAACGTCGCGTAACGGTTCCTCGGGGTGATCTTGTGGGGCGTCGAAATCCCAACACGGGACCATGGGGTGATGCCACTTTCCCTCTCCTTCTTTCAATCTACGCAAGAAGTACTCGGCGCATTGAATCGCCGTTGCCAGATACTTGATGTCCTTCGTCCAAGAATACGTCTGCGAGAACCCCATTATCGCCCAGGCCTGGCCTCGACTCCACGTCGAATCGTCTTTCCAGCCTTGATTCGTCATCTTGGCTTGTGGTTGACCGGTTCGCGGATCGAAGTTTACGAGGTGGTATGAGGAGAAATCTGGTCGCATGATTTCGTGGATGATGGAGTCGGCGTGTTGGGTTGCGATGTCGATTAGCTTTTGGTCGTTTTGGATGTGGCCGACGAAGTAGAGGAGGTCGAGATCTGGAACGTGTGAGTAAGTGGGAAGGAGGAATGCATGGAGTGGAAACCTTACTACACATGCTATCTATAATGACGAGAAAGTTTGTCGACATATCCGTTATTGAGTAGCGGTCGTTGATCGCAACATCCCAACTCCGAATTGCTTTTACCCGGTCGTCATATCGCGAAGCGAGCGCGTATGCTGCGTTGACGACAGATTGTAAGCTCTCTTTATTGCCAGTCAACTCCCAGTCTTTTTGTAACGCGGGCTGCACGATAAAGCCCATGTCGTGGGTATCTGTCCGACCAGACATCTGATTGATAGCAACGCCATAGTGTCGACCAAGTTTGAGTAGTTGGTCCTGGATCTGTGGCCGCACGTGTTCAGGGACATCAATGGCCTGGGGGTATCGTATTGAGCGCTCGAGAAGCGCGTATATGCAACCTGAGAAGAAGCCGCAGGTCCAAAAATCTGCTTCTCGCTCTTCGTATCGGCCTGCGTCGGGACCAATCTGGGGTACGGTGTGTGGGTATGACGGTAAGGGAGCCGGTTGTTTGAGGCCGCGTTGCGCGACTTGTACGATCTTTGCTGCTACGCTTTCTGAGTAGATCCGACTGAGGTCGACATCTTTGACGCTATATGGACTGAGCATTGGCTTGTGCCATTTCACATGCGCGTAGACTTACACTGCGGCCTTGGAAGGCATCTTGGCATCCTGTACAGCGCTTCCCATCTTGCTTTCGCGATTGGAACTTGCGAGTGACGTATGTTCGATACGAAGGCAATTTCGTCAAATGGCACTTGGAACTGTGTCCTCGAGGTGTGCCGTTTCTACTAGATGTTCGGTCGTAAACGAGCGAAGAGAAGAATCAGGAAGCAAAGCGAAGAGCAGCCAAGGTGTTGCTTCTTGCCAAAATGCCTACATCGGGCGACGCGTAAACTGTCGCGCGTAGCATGGCGGGGCTGTTATCGATACCGGGTCATCTTGCAACGAGAGTTCAAAGTTAAGGTGTAGGCTAAATGTGGGATCTGCATTATCCCGATGCCCGCTACCCGGCCGTTTACACAAGCTCAGAGCATCGCCCGCGATGTGGACGTCATCTTTTTCTTGATCTCGTATCGTCCTGAAGCCCGTGACTATGCTTTCTTGGACTCGTGGACGGCCTTCCGAAACAGGTATCTGTTCCTTCGCTTGCTGTGTTGATAACCCTTGGAAGCGACGTAGCGGGGACCTAATGCTGGGCTTCTAGCTAATTTCCCCGCGTCGCACTATCTATGAAGTCTGGGGTTGCAGTAGCGCTGCTAGCATGTAAGGACGGAGATACTCTGGCCGTGGATATCGACCCGTCTAAGTTGAGACGATCGCGTGAACCTTTGTCGGCATAAAGTTGCTAGCGTCCATAATAAGGACAGGACCAACGAACACCTCGCCCTGTTCACGTCAACCATGCTGTTCACTCGTGTAGCTGCGAAGCTGCTGCTAATTTCTTTTGCTGCTGGCGCGCCGCCATCAGCGTTAAAGAGGGCCGCTTCCATACTTCCTTTGTCAACCAAGGGGCGAGATATTGTCGACGCGAACGGCGATGTCTTCCACTTCATGTCGACAAATTGGCCAGGCCACCAAGAGATCATGATTCCTGAAGGCCTCCAGCACTCGTCCGTCCAAGACATCGTGTCGTGGTTTCCTAAGCTCGGCCTCAATTCGGTCCGCATGCCGTTCGCAATCCAGATGGTAGATGACTACCTTGCGAATAGTCCAAATCAGACTCTCGAAAGAAGTGTCCTTAACGCGATCCCAGGCACGAACGGCACCGATGTCCTAAACTCTATTCTGGAGAAGAACCCACAGTTCACCAAGAACACGACGAGACTGCAAGTTTGGGATGCTGTTGGCAAGGAACTCTCGCGTCAAGGCGTCATCATCCACTTGGACAATCACGTATCGAGGGCCTTCTGGTGCTGCGGCGATGACGACGGCAATGGCTGGTTCGGCGAGAAGGACTTCGACGTGGAGAAGTGGAAGCGCGGTTTGGCCTTTATGACGAAGCATGTATGTACTTGATCGTCTGCTATGGAGCAGATGCTGACGAGCTTAGGCGAAAGAAAACTGGTCGACTTTCTCGTCAATGGGACTGCGCAATGAGCTGCGAGCTGCCAAGGTAGCCGAGCCGGTCGACTGGTATACGTGGTATATCCACATGACTGCCGCTGCAGACGCCGTTCATGAGGCAGATCCCAATGCGCTAATCTTCTTCTCTGGTCTCTCGTACGACACGTACATTGACCCCATCCCTCTCGGAAAGACGCTCAATGGTACCAGCGGTACATCGACTGCGAACAAGACTGCGAAGTTCGTGCCCGATAGTTTCGCGTGGAAGGATAAAATCGTTCTCGAGATCCACAAGTATGACTTCGAAGCCACCCAGGATGACTGCGCGACCTTCAAGAGGAAGTGGTATCAGAAGGGCTTCCAGGCCGTCAACCCCGACGACCCAGCGACCAAGTACACTTTCCCAATGGGGATTTCCGAATGGGGATTCATCCAGAATGGAACATACTGGAACCAAACCACCTACGCTGGATGTTTGGTGGAGATGGTGAAGGAGTACCAGGTTAGCTGGCAGCATTGGGAGCTCTCAGGTAGCTTCTACCTCCAGACTCGTCCTAACCGAACTCCCAACACACTCATTGGGGCGGATGAGGCTTGGGGCTTGTTGAACTACGATTGGTCTGCTCTTCGATCGCCTGTCACCCTAGAGAACAGCTTGTACAAGATGATTGAAGCGTTGAAGTAGTGGCAAGGCGTAGCGCAGAAGTAGATATGCTCAATTCAAAATCGAATCCCGGTCGCGATCACGCTCTGCCGTATACATACTGTCCTGAGATGTATAGTCGTGTGAAGATGCGTATGCACGGCTCTGTACGAGAGGTCCTCAGGTACCACCTGGGCATCCTCTTCCAGGCTTGCACAAGGAGCGCATACTTAACGTGAACGATTTGCTGAAATGGGCTCGGAGAGTGAAAGCACATATGTCGTTTCGGAGTCGCGGAGGTTGGCGATGTGTGTGGATGTTCGCGTTCGCGACGCGTTAAGACACGTCAAATGGTTTCCGTTCGTGAACGTGTCTATGACGTCATTGGCTATCACCACACCACACATGCATCTGCACAACCCGTGGACGCCAAATAGAAGAAAACTTGCATACGATATTTTAAGAGGGATAGTAATCAGCGAGTTATTCCGAGGCCTACTGTCAACTTTGTTAGGCGGACGATGCGCCGAAGTTGCCTGCCTGTGGCTGCGCCTTGGCACGACTCATGGACCGCAATGCATCCTTCCCGAACCAAGATTCGAGCTTCATTCATCACCCCACAGTCTCCCCATGTTCTTGGCCACCTTCCAGCAGCTTAACACCTCCCGGGCAACGGGGTAACTCCTCTTTCAGCGCCCGTTTGTGGATTTCTCCCTAGAAGAAGCCCGCCCCCGCACTCGACCATCCGTATGCAGAATTACCCCGACGCCCGCCAGAGAAGCCGTCCAGTCGCTTACTAGCTTTGAGATTTAGCCATGCGGGAACTACCAATTCACCTGTTCTTCGGGTTCCGACGAACATCAGGGCTTTAAGCACAAAGACCCCAGCTTTGTTGTACATTTCCGAGGTCGTGCCGTCAACACTTTCATCTGACGAGAGGCAACTCAACATGGCTAGCACGCAGCCCAACGACGAAACTGCTGGTGTCGCCAACAGGACCGGCGAGTTCGATACCAACGTTATCGCGCCTGCTGAAGCTCCCAAGAGGTCACCATGGAAGGCGTGGATGTATCTCTGGGAATGGTACCCCAAGCACTACCCTGAGGAGGAGAGGAAGTTGCTGAGGAAGATGGACGCTTGTCTGCTGACATTCTGTTCCTTCATGTGTAAGTTACCGTACTGGCACTTTGGTTTCTTATACACTGACAAGACCAGTCTTCCTCAAGTGGCTCGACTCTTCCAACATCAAGAACGCCTATGTATCAGGCATGAAGGAAGAGCTTAGTCTCTACGGCAATGAGTACTCGCTATTCGACACCTTCTACAACGTCGGGTATCTCGTATTCCAGGTCCCATCTTTACTCCTGTTATCCCGACCGAAGATTGCCAAGTACTATCTGCCGACCATGGAAGTGCTGTGGTCCATTGTGACTTTCTGCCAGAGTCAGATGCGCAGCCGAAACGACATCTACGGTACTCGATTTCTGCTCGGTCTTCTTGAGACACCCGTAGCTTCTGGAACTACCTACGTACTTGGCTCCTGGTACAGGCCTGAGGAGGTCTTCAAAAGGACGGGAGTCTGGTTTGTCTCTAACAACATTGCCGTGATGTTTGGTGGCTACCTACAAGCTGCGGCTTACAACAACCTCAATGGGTAAGCGATCTTTTCGACAATTGTCATACTGCCGCTAACCTCATCTAGCGTCGGTGGCATGTCGGGTTGGAGATGGCTCTTCATCATCGACGGAGTAATCTCTCTCCCTATCGCCCTTGCAGGCTTCCTCATCTTCCCGGGTCTACCAAGCAGCGCAAAACCGTGGTGGCTTACACCAAAAGAGCATGCGCTAGCTCGCTCACGCATGGCCAATGCCGGTGTCGCACCAAGTAAAGAGCTTAGCTGGACGGTCGCAAAGCGAACATTCATGCGCTGGGAGTTCTACATGGGCGTACTGTGTTACACATTGTGAGCGTCTTCGAGTAACCCATAGTTACGAACGCTGACCGACTATTAGCTTCTTATCCTCCTCTTATCCTCACGGACAGATGGCAATCTGGCTCAAAGACCTTGCTGCCAAACTTCCCGGCGCCTACACCATTCCCCAAATCAACACTATACCTACTGGTGCCCAGGGTGTCTCCGTCTTCGCCGCGCTCCTCGCCACCTCTCTCTGCATGGTGTATCCGCTCTGGTCCATCTTCTCGATCGTCCAGACTATCTACATCGTCGCCAACATCTCTCTTCTGGTCTGGAACATCCCCAAGGGCTACCACTTCGCCTGTTACTACCTGCTCGGTGTATCAGCTGCCGTGACACCAATTCTCATGCCATTCATCAACATGGCTCTACGTGACGACGCAGAAGCCCGTGCTGTCACCGTCGGTGCTATGCTGACAGCTGGTTGGGCTGTCTTCTCCTTTTACCCCATCACAGTGTTCCCTATCGTCGAGGGCCCGAAATGGACCAAGGGCTATGCAGTGAATATCTGCTTCATCGTAGGATGCTGGAGTTCATTCTTGATCATGCAGTACCTGTACAAGAAGAGCGAGAATAGAAAGCAGAACATGATGATTAGGGACGTGGCTAAGGATCAGGAAGACATGGCCGGACTAGATATCAAGGATGCAGCGGAGGTCGAACACGCAGAGGTCAGAAAGTGATGTGCAGGAGTGGCTTCTCCGTGCGCTGTACAAGTGGTCTTTGTGAACATGCAGATATGGAATGGAAAACTTCTAGTATAATGGAATGGTAAAGCTTCGCATGATCAAACACAATCTGATCAACTGCGAGCCAAACTTTACAACCTACGCACCGCCTCTCAAAGTCCAAACCTAACGCATCATCATGCCTTCTCAGCCCCACCACCGGATCCCACAAACCCTACGAAACCGCACGCTAACCCAACCCGACATGTCCAACTCCGCATCAGACTCTTACTCCCCACCACGACGTTCCCGCAAAGCCAACCAACAGCCCATCCCCCGGCGCCACACCATATCCCCCCACTCCCGTTACTACAACCGCATAATCCGACTCGAAGGCCAAATCACCTCCGTCATCTCAATTCTAAAATTCCACCTGCGGTACGCAGACTTTCCTACGGATACCTCACTCTCCGCGCTACGTCTCCATCCACTACCTGTATACTTCGATATAATACAAGAGCTCATCAGTCACATCGAAAGCGGCTTGGACTACAACGGTGCGTTTAATGCCGGCGATCTGATGTATCTAGCGCAAGAATGGTATTTCCCGCATGTGAAAGGGCGAGTGGAAGCAGACGAAGAAGTGGAAGTAGCACCCCAACCGCACTGGCCTAAAATCCTGTTTCTCGCACAGCTTCAACGTATCCTCGAGGACTCAACACTTACCCTATCTCAGAGTCTAAAAGCTGGTTGGGAGTGGTTTATGGACCTCGATGTTTTTCCATCGCTACCTGGAGGAATGAGAGAATGGGCGTTGGGGTGGCATGAATTGCCATCTGCGAAGCAGAAAGAATTCCTTCAGCTTTTTGATGTAGACGCACAGGTTCTCACTGGCACGATGAACGCAGTGGAAAACATGTCTCTACGCGGTCCGTTAACGCTCGATCGCGAACAAGTCGGTTGCGTCACTACGTTTCTAGCACAAGATCGTCCGCTCGACGCTATAGTCCCGCTAATGCTCAATCCATCGAAACAGAACCTTGGAACGTGTTCGCTCTGCGGCACTATACTGCGAAAACAGGATATCGGTTCTGAAAAACAGCATCGACCTGTTGAGATACCTTGCGGACACATCTTCGGCTCGGAGTGTATCTTAAGCCATTTTCGCAATCAGGAGGGTTGGAGTTGTCCGTTTTGCGGGTGGAATCTGTTCGATGCGCCGCATCATCCTGTTACGCCCAAGGAAGTGTTGGAGAGCTGTGATCGTATCTTGAAGTACCTAGACCCACCTGCGAGTGTCATGTCTCCGGTGAGTCCGCATTCGTATCTTGAGAAACTAGGAATCGTTTTCGAAGACGCGGATGCGGTACGAGAGCATTTGCACTGCTGGCTCAACGCTCCGTATGCGGCGTATGTAGAGTTGTTGGGGTTGTTCGATTTGGCGCTGTATCTTGCGAGGGATAGGTTCGATGCTGCTGTGAGAGGGGATGTTATTGAGTTTAGGGAGGTGGTAGGGAGGCAGTTTCAGGTTGAGGCGAGGATTCAGTGGTTGGAGTTCTTGAGGAGTTGTCATCCGAATTCTCCGGTGGTTTGGTAGGTAGGGAGACATCAATCTGCTTGTAACCTCCAGTGCGGTGCTACGTAGAAGCATCTTCCCTTAGAGCCATTCCATCGTGATACCTAGGTAACCTCTTTCTCAACTCTCCGACACGGTACGTCGTTCCTCGGGTGCAAGCATCCACAGAGTGCAATACTAACATGCATTGTGGTTCGTAGCCTGCAACAGAGAAACCCATTTACAAGATCCGCTCAAGACCTCGTTCCACCTCTTACCAGGAGTCATGCCACCACCCTCCGCCGAACCATTGCTCCGCGCCATCCGAACCACTCAACTCGTCCGACACTTCGGCCGATAACATCGGGCCTTGAGGATGCCAAGTCCTCCGTAACAGAGAATCGCCATATGCAGCCTTTGCATTAGCCCACGGCAAATCCTCTAGCTTCGGCATAATAAGACAAGCCCGGCATGTGAAGATCACGATGCATTGCATACGGTAGTGACGGAGCATCGGACATGAGTTTCGGAGCAAGAACAACAAGTGTCAATTGAGCTACGCTACCCGATAAAGTAGGTGCGGATAGGAATGGGTATAGACAAGAAACGACGACTTGCGGTGAGGAGAAACCTCTCTAGCGTAGGAAATCAAGGTGTGTATGTATGTACAAGAAGAGAAGGGGAAACAATGCAATGAGTGGTGACTGCAGACCAGTAAAAGGTCCAGCCTTGAACTTGAACAAAAATAAACGTCCGGCGATGCTTATACCCAAATGCCAATGCCACATTGGAAAGGTACGTACAGAGATCAAGCCTTCTCCTTCTTAAAGCAATTCTTGAGGCGAAGCTTGATCTTGTACATGTACCAGTCGCCCTTCCTCTTGAGCCCAAGTCCCTCGCTCCCGTCTTCACCAGCTTTAGTCTTGTTGTCTTTACTCTTACTTCGGCCGCCTTTCTTTTCTTGCTTGCGCTTCTTCTCGTTCATGACAAACATGCTTGTGGGACGTTTCTTGAGACCGGGTCCCTCGGTGACACCAGAATCCCACATGCCGGTTGTTGTGATGGGCGCATAAGCGGATTGTGTCTTGCGGGAACGTTCGGTTTCTGGCATGGCGGGCGATAGGAGCGGGGAGGCAAGTAGTGGTGCGGGCGAGCTTGGGCCTTCGGTTGATGGCGAGATGACGACGGGAGATGGGATGGTAGCAGGGAGAGGGCGAGTCGACTCAGCGGAGGGACGTTCTATGGGTGAAGGGAGGGACAGCTCTTTGATGCGGAGGAGTTCCACGCTGCGTTTCATGGTGCGCTCTTCGGGGGTCTCGACGAGTGTCTGGTCCTCGAATGTGAGGCCGTACTTCTTTCTCATGCTGCCTGTCATGCTATGGAGAGCAGTGCCGGTAGAATTCGCACGTCGCGCACGTGTCTTGACAACAGGTACGGGAGAGGCATTTACTGCCGTCTTGGTGGATGCAGGCGAAGGAGGAGTATCCGTGAAGCTTGTCGTGCGACGGGGCAGTCTTTCCATGCTAGGTTTGAACATCCGAGGAAATGAACGGCGCTTCTCGTCGAGAGTTGATGCTGGAGACGGCGAGCGCGGGCAGTCCAACATGGACATGGAGAATGTGCGGTTGGTGGCTGGACGGAAGGTTGCAGAGGGTGTCAAGGTGGGAGGCGAAGACAAGGAGGGGCTCTCGGTCGCGAATTCTCTAGACGCAACCCAGACACCAGAAGCCAAAATGAACTGTCGAAGTGCGTCGCCGGTCTCGGTGGGGAGTTTATCCGTCAATGTGTCCATGAAGGTGTTGACATCGATGCTCGAGGTGTCGGTAGTAGGTGACTGGGTGTAGGAAGTTATGCTAGGCGTTGACGGCGAGGCAGCGGATGGCATTGCGTAGGTATCCATGACATCTATACGACTGCGGGTCATTGTCGCAATGATGGGATGGCGTCTGGAGTTGACGCTCAAGGTGCTGAAGGTAAACTTCTTCTCGTCTGGAGCTTGAGGAAGCGATGGCGACAGTGGCGCAGTCGTCGACATGCTCGACACACGACGCGAGTGGTTTGGCTTCAACACCCAACGAGCCTTCAGCGTCAGTCCATGTTCGTCAGTGCTATTGAATTCGTAGCCTCCGTTTGGCATGTCGGTGACTGCCCAGCGACTCGTCCCGTCGTTCATGCATATCTCCGTTGTCTCAGTAACCCCCCTGTCGCACTTCCGCGAGCTGATGACGCCAATTATGTCGCGCGAGCCCCAGCGATCTTCTTCCGACTTGTTCTCGTCATCCCGACTGTGGTATGCTTCTGCTTGCGCAATGAGGAGATCGTGTGGTCCCAGTCTTTCCCTGGTGTTGAAACTCCGCGAAAGACGCCTCGAGGCTCGCTGGGGGATGGCCGAGAAAGGGACGACTTCATAGGCTGGCTTCGGTCGTTGTGACGCAATGACTTGATGTAGCTGCAGGGCGACTCTTTGCCGGCTATGTAGCTTGGAGCGAGTGTTTACGGGTCGGGCGATGATGTAGGATGTCTTGGAACGAGTGGACCGCTTCTTAGGCTTAACGCTGGTAGCATCGCTGCCGGAGGAAACAGGTCTTGAAGGAGCGAGGGCGATGATAGATTCGTCATGCGGCATCTTCATCGCATCCCTATGCGAGGCGCGCGTAGGAGTGTCAGGGGCATCGGTCGTAGGGTCGGTATAGGTAGAAGGAAGGGTCGCCTGCGACGGTGAAGGAGTCTGGCCGCGCAAGACGGAGCCGAGAAGGGAAAGCGGCATCTGCAGGAAAGAGCCATTGGTGGTGGGCGAGGCGGCACGCGGTGGTGAGCTCTCATGGCCGTGTTTGGCGGCGTCGGCGGTCAACATGTCCAGCAGCATTGCTCCAGCACTCAATCCAGGTGTGACATGCTGAGAGATCCGTCAGCAAACAAGGAAATGACGAAAACACAGGCGCAATCAGCGCATGGGACGCCATTGTTCTTATGAAGGCGGGCCCCAAGGGCTGTGCGCTGAAGTTTGGAGGTCGTGCCCCCTCAAGCGTAATAGGCACATCCACAGGCGACGAACAACTGGGGCTGACTTACAAGCCACAGCTAGCAGGCTGACTTTATGCAGGGAGTGGGTTGGCCAATCAAACGCTCCCTATAATTCGAGCTTGTGCGGCTGAGTGTCTCAGGACGCGGCGCAGATGCAATTGCAGAAAACGAAATGGAAACCAAAAAGAAGCCTCCCTGATGGGCCCCCCGTCAGGTCATTCATCGGCCGGCAGGGCTCTACTGACCATCCGCATCGTCGACGCACAAGGCACACAGGCTCCAACGCCGGTAAAGTCAACCGTCGTCCGTCCCGTCGGTGCAGGGACGCCAGCAAAGCCGCATCCGGCAAGGGGCTAGAACGATTGGCCCATCATGCATATCATGCACACTCGCTACGAGCCCCTCTTTTTGCTTCATCGGGGAGCAATTACTCGGC